AGGAGGAAAGAGGGAGAAAGAGCCGTGAGATTTACAATACACTAAAATAGTACATTAGGATCTACATACAGCACCTGCCTGTGAATGTTTTTACTGTGATTCCGGAGCCAGCTGAGGTTTGTTCTTTTTGCAAGGAGGGATAAAGTCACTAAGAAAGAAAACAAGAAACAATCACACCTCGAGCATTTCACCCTGTTACAAACTTCAAATGGTGATGCAACCACCGTGTGGGACTTCTTATGGATCTACTAAACTGTGTGACATAAAACTACCGAAGGCCGTGGTCGGGGGAGAAGAATGCAAGAGGGAAGCTTCCCCAGATGGAGCCCAGGGTGAGCCCTGCCCCGCCCCACTGCAGCACACACAGCTGCCCAGGGCTCTCCTCCGGCCCCACCAGGTGACACCCCAGAAGCGCAGAACAAGACCTGTGGCACAGGCAGCCTTAGCCTCAAACCGCCTGCCCCAATTGGAAGGTATCACTCTCAAAAACCCCACAGCCCTGTATTTCAGAGGCTCCACAAAGGAAATGCCAGCTACAGGCCACCGTACTCGGGAACCCCAAAGCCACAGCATCCCCGTCATCCACTGGGTCTATTTATGCTTTCTCCCAGACATAATCTGTAAGGCAGGGTGCTGTAAGGGCAAGCATGGCTTCTTAGCCACTGAGTCACTCAGGTCTCCAGCAAAACAGAACAAAAAACTTCAAGGAAGTTCAAATTGTCTTGTAAAATAAGACAAGGTCTTGTTTCATTTTAGGTACTGAACCCAGGGCCTTGAGATACTGTGCTACAATCCCAGTTCTTTTTTTATTCTGAGACAAGCTCTTGCTAAGTCACTGAGTTGCCCAGGGTGAGCTCAACCTTGCAATCCCCCTGCCTCAGACTCCCAGAGGGATTACAGGTACGCACCACAATGATAAGCATTTTCCAATACTGGACTTCTGGTGTTCTATTTTAATGACTCTGTATGTATGTATTATGCAGCTTACATTTCATTATGCTGCATAATAGGTATCCCCAGCATCTAAGAAGGAGGGGGACAGAACAGAGAAGGGCAAAGTCCTGAGTTTGATTTCTGGTACAAAATAAAAAAGAACAGAGAGGTTGGATGGACAGATGGGCAGATGGACGGACAGATGGAGGGATGGATGGATGGAACTTAAAGACTTTAGATACTTCCTTCTGATGTAAATAGTCTGTATGGTTTACTTGTTCGTTCAGCTATTGTGTTTATTAGGCAGCAACATTCGCCAAGCACCAGGCATTATCCTAAGCCCTGGAGTTTTAGCAGTGAATAAAACAGACCAAGAAAACCACAAAAAACTGTCCTCGTGGAACTTATATTCTGAGAAAGAATTTAGTTGCTTCACTACAACTAAATGAGTAAGCTAACAGCAATGTGAGGAGACAGGGAAAACTGCAGCGGAAAGGAGAGGGGAAGTTCGGGCTGAGAAGGAGTGCGGTTTTAAGTAAGACGGCCAGAGTTGTGCTGAGAGGGCGGTGTCGAGCACCCGTCAGAGAGGGCGGTAGAGGGACAACCCCACAGGCATCTGGGGAGAGAATGTTCCTGAAGGATGAAACAGCCCAGGTGAGGCTGAGCCACTGCGCGCCTGGAGGAGACGCAGAGAACCAAAGGGAGGGAGATGAAGGTTTTCACCCCACGTCTTCAGTGGTGCGTAAGTGTCCCCCAGGGCCACACGCTAAAGCCTCGGTGGCCAGCCTGCGGGGCCACCTATGAAAACATGAGTCAATATAAATCTTTCCTCCTGTAAAGCTGATTACCTTGGTATTCTGTCTCAGCCGCAGAAAGCTGATTAACGTACCCTTCCAGTCATCTGGGGAGGGCTGCTGGCCTCTGACACAGCCATGGCGCCTCTCCCGTGGTCTCTCTGCCTCATCCTCTGTCCCTGCACGCTGCCAACTTCTGCCCCTTCAGGCCTGGAGTGCCAGGCTCACTTCAACCCCAACATCCCACACAGTCCCGTAAATAGTCAAGCTCCCCGCAAGCCCCGCTTAACTGTGCCACCTCATTTCTGGCAGGGCCCTGCCTAATTCACAAATCCAGGGCGAGAGTCCGGGTGGGAGACAATGGCGGCTTGGACCAGGATGCTGGCAACAAGACAACAGGAAGCGGCTCGCTGTGACTTGCCGACAGATTCAGTATCACATGTGACTCCGGATCCTGACTAAGCTCTGAGACACAGTTTCTAAAATTCAATAGAAAAATCAATACAAAATAAGTCCAAATCCACTGAAAATAGCTCATGAGACAAGGAATACCTATGGCTGTCAAACACACGCAAAGATCTGTCTTACTATTAAAGAAAAAGAATGCAAATTAATATAACAAAGGCTCTTTTCTCCCACAAAATTGAAAAAAAATATGGTCCTATACCAACTCCCCACGATGACTGGAATCATTATGTGCTGCTACCATCATGTACTAATAAAAATAAAATTTTTTAAAAATATAGTAGTTCTGTGAGATCATAACATTAGGTAAAGTAAGGGGCCGGGGATTTAGCTCAGCGGCACAGCGCCTGCCTGGCAAATGCAAGCTCGTGAGTTTGATTCCCGGTACCGGGTGCAGCAGTGACAACAACATTAAGTAAAGTAAATCAAACACACAAGCTTAAACATCTCAAGGTTTTTCTTTTTTTTTTTTTTTCTTGTTTTTCTCCGGTACCAGGAACCGAACTCACAACCTTGCGCTTGCCAGGCAGGCGCTTTTGCCGCTGAGCTAAATCCCCAGCCCCTCAAGGTTTTTCTTATATAAGACACTCCATACACAAATAAAATGCAAAATAAAAGACAAGAGGAAAAAGAGAAAAAAAGGTTATTATTATAATCTAGCATGAACAATGTATCTAAACATGCACCTTGATTTACTGTAATTGTCTTATGTGTTTTATATGTTTTCGGACTACTAATCTGCGTGTATGATAATTAACTTCATAAGGACTTATAAGACAAATAAATGAATCTGATGCTGGCAAAAAAAGGTGGATAGAGAGAAAGGGAGAAAAAGAATTGAGATGTGTCATGTACATATACTAATTTCCTCACAATGAATGTATTTGTACTTGTTTTACTTACTTTGCTCGTTGCTGAGACAAAATACCCAACACCCAAAGTTAAAGGAGGAAAAGTTTATTTGGCTCACAGTGTGTAGGGATTTCAGTCTGTAGCTGGCTGGCTCCAAGGTAGGGTGGCATGGCAGAGGTGCATCACAGAGGAAAACAGTTCATGGCAAAGCAGGCAGAAGGCAGAAAGCAGCAAGCTACAAGTGGTAACCACAGATTCTTTCTGTCCGTTTATATTCTACTCACACCCAGAACTATGCCAAACCAATCAGTGGACTAATGTACTATTCACATACCCTGAAAACTTTAATCGTAGAAGGATAAAATCACTATTACAAGCAACTGCCACTGAGCAGGTTGACGTAAGAGTTCTATTTTTTCACTAGACACACTTATGGAACGACTGAAATTTGCTATCACAGGCATGGATGATGTTTTTCAACAAACACAAAACTACCCAAAGCCAATTTAAAAAAAAAAAAGACCAAAAATAAATTATCTTCCCATAGACTGAAAGCAAAACATTCTTGAAGAATTCCACACACGGTACGTAAGTACAGTTCATCTTAATAGCATTCATACTTTGACACAAGATAAACCTCTGACCTATAATGATCTGAATAGCAGGTATTTCTCCCCTTGTGTTAAAACTGAGCCTGTTTACCAGCTCCTGGGGCTTTTCCAGTATTGACCATGTATGGAAAAAACAAAAGAGTTTAAATAGAGAATTTCAAATGGAAACAAAACAAAACCAAAAGCCCTGTGACCCAGCTCCCCTTAACAGCTGTTTTAGTGAGGGATATCCACCCTAGCACTTAGCCCCACATCCAGTGGAACAACCCACATCATCACTCCTGTTTTGATGACATTTTAATTCTCAGAAACAATGTATTACAGAACTAGTAGGAACTAACCAAATGGAAAAAGAGATTAACTTTGCTCAGGGTTATCTCAAAGCACTCTGTCAAAAACAATAATCAGGGCTGGGGATACAGCTCAGAAGCACAGCACCTGCCTGGCAAGCACAAGGTCCTGTGTTTGATTCCTGGTACTAAAAATAAATAGATAAATAAATAGCAATAATCATTAAAACATTGTATAAGACTATTAAACTAAAAGAGATGTTTCATCTCTCTGAAGATTTTCTAAGCCTTCACAAGTCTGTATCAATACACCAACATAAATGGGGCCAGGATCATGTTTTATTGCACTGATGTAAATATAAAAGTTCAGTTATGTCTTATCTCCCTTCTGCTGTTTTTCTCCTTTTCACCACAGTCCTGACTGCCACTGAATTCTGTCCCTAAGGATAAAATGACCCTCTTTTTTTTTTTTTTTTTTTTTTTTTTGGTTTTTCTCCGGTACCGGGAACTGAACTCACGACCTTGCGCTTGCCAGGCAGGCACTTTGCCGCTGAGCTAAATCCCCAGCCCCTAAAATGACCCTCTTGTTGGAAGCATGGCAGGCACTCTGCCCTGTGAGTTTTGGAGCTTTTTTACAAAAGTTTTTCCCCCTTTTCAATCACCTTCATCTGCTTGACTATGAAGCCTTGTCTGCTGGATTTTGCTGATTAGAGAGTCAGTCTGCTATAGTACCCAGTGCACCAGGCCGCATTTTGACTAAGGGAGGATCAGGCAAAAGCTCTGCTGTGCCCAGGGTCTCCCTTTTTGCAACGGATTTCTGTCCAATTGCTACCCGTGGGCACTTCCGGTCTGGGCCGGAAGTCCTCTGCAACAAGGGAAACTGTTTTTAATACTTTCACACACTAGGAAAGCAGAGGGGAAATCATATAAATCATTTGCCTATAGAACTTTCCCTGAGCTCCTGAGGTGACTATATTTGTTGTTTTATCAAATTACTACTTTTTTTAAAAAATCAAATGTAAAGCAAAAGAACGAACCACAGCATCCGTGCTTACCTGTTGAGTCGAACTCGATTGGCTGGCAGCGGCGGCTAGAGGACCAATCACATTTGAGGACCTGCCCTCCTTCCACGATGCCCGGCTGGGTGGTGTTGGCTTTGGGGGCACCCACCAGAACAAACATCCTGCTAAAATATAAAGGGACAGCAATACTGTAAGTGACACGGCAGAAGCTGTATCCTATGACTCAGGAGCAACAATCATTCTCCTAGTATTATCCACAAATAAGCTGGTTGTGGGGGCACACGCCTGTCCTCCCAGAACTCAGAAGGCTGAGACAAGAGGATCACCATGAGTTCAAGCCCAGCCTGGGCTATATAGAAAGACCTTGTCTCAAAAGCAAACACACACACGCAAACCAGTATTACCCACACATGCCTTTGAAAAACCATTCAGTGAGGGTGTAATTTTCTTTACCCATTTGGTAATCTCTCACATGTAACATTATTTGGTATTGTTTATTCACCCTGACAACATTATACTCTCAGAGTTACATTCATTTAAATAGGTATGCTGTTCAAATCGTATGCTTAAACTCGTAGTTTATTCTGTGTCACATGTCTCAATACAGGATTTTTAAAAATGTATGCTGACTATAGAACCTGGGAAGTTTTGTTTGGTTTGTGTTAATCTTCTGACATCCATTACATATTTCTGTTTTGAGGGGTATAGCTAAGTTGCCCAGGCTGGCCTTGAACTTGTCATCCTCCTGCCTCAGCCTCCTAAGTCGCGGAGATTACAAGCGTGTACTGAAGCGTCTGGGCAGCACAGAAGATGCAGGAGAACAGGAGTCGGGGGAAAGAGGTGTGGCTGCTGAGAGAGAGGTTGAGTGTGGCACAAATAACCGTGGAAGCCTCGTAAAGCACGGGGAGCAGGGCTGGATTTTACCAACAGTGCATCCAAAGCCTTGAAAAATTCGGTTCCACACTCTCTGGGTAAAGCAGTAAGAAAGCAGTAAAAATGGAACTAGGAGAGCAAGAGCTGTGCCAGCCCCAGGAAGTGACGGTGACCTGCAGCGGGAGGGAGGACTGGTGAGGGAGAAGTGGAAGGAGGAGCAGCGCAGCGGGGAATGGCTCTCGAGAGCCACCATGGGCTTGTTCTTTGGCGAGGTATTTTACTTTGTTTTGTTTTGTTTTTGAGACAGGATCTCACTATGTAATCCAGGCTGGCCTTGAACTCAAGGGGATCCTCCTGCCTCAGCCTCCTGAGTGCCGGATGACAGGTGTGTGCCACCACGCCCTGCACAATCTTGTTCTTGGGTACCCGGATGGGAACAGCACGTGGCAAGCAGAGGAAACAAGACAGGTGGAGACGCACAGCAAACCACAGCGTCACGTCGCAGTAGGCTGCTGACAGTCGCTGAGACACCTAAGTAGCAGCCAGGGCTCTGAGGACACCGCGTTAGGTCATCCGGACGCAGAAGGTGCAGACACGGGCAGCGCGAAATCAACATTATCTCAGCAGCCCCTCATTTCGCTAAGCACTGAGGCGCTCACGTTCTTCCAGCAAAGGAAATCCCCACGAGCTTTTCCCTTTTTGTGAAACTATGCACAAACCTCCATGTTCCGTATCAAGTCGTCTGGTATTAACCTCCCCAATGAATCTCAACTTCATTTATTCTGGGGATCGCCCATCAGATCCCACCGGGACCAGACAAAAATGGGCTGTGTGGACTGCTGGGTTACAAGCATCCTGCCTCCTGAGACTCAGCCTGAAATCCCGAAAATCAGAATCAAAATCAAAATCACACTCCCAACCAAGCCGCACCCTGCTGAATAAAGCTTTCTGCAGTCATTTTTGGCCCCAGAACAGCTGTGCCGGCGCTCGGTCACCAGAACAGAACGATTCTGGGTAGGAAATCAGCTAAGTTTTCATTCAGCTAAAATCTTTCATAAGAAAAAAAAAAATAAGGCTGAATAAAAGCACTGCTGTCCCGGAGTGAGGAAGAGAGCCACTTCTGCTCAGCATGAACCCCTCCAGGCTTTCTCTAAGCAGAGCTGATTCACATAACTGTATTACTTGTACAACTAAATTATAATGTGTAAATTTACATATATGTAAATATGTAAAGGACATACATGTTTTCTCCTTTCAATAACAACAATTTGAGCAAAGGGCTGGCATGGACAGCCCTGGCCTAGAACGTGCGAGGCCCCAGGTTCAATGCTGAGCACTGTCATAAAAAAGTTTGGACCACAAAAATCATAAAAGTGCCCTTTTTCTTCAGAATTAAATTATTTTTTCCTTTGTATGCTGGAGAACAACAGTTCAAGCAAGTGTGCTTTTGAAGTCTATATCTTTTTTTTATTGTTGTGTTTTTTGAGGGTGTTTTGTTTTGTTTTGTTTTTGAGACAGGGTCTTCCTGTGTAGTTCAGGCTGGCCTTGTACTCACTATATAGCCCACGTTGGCCCTGAACTCACAGTGATTCTCCTGCCTCAGCCTCCCCACTGCTGGGATCAGAGGTGTGCGCTGCCATGCCCAGCTTTGAAGTCTACACCTTAAAAAGGGCTGGGGTCTTCTGGGTGGCAACACCAGCGGAGAGCGTGTGTGGAGCAGCATACCCCAGGCCAGGGTGCAGGAGGTCAGGAGAGGAGACCCAGTCCCCAGGAGCTGCCTGACACCAACAAGCAACTCATTCCTGGGACGTCCTCACACAGCACCCCAGGGACCTCTTGTCATTGCTGTCGGAACCATTCCCTGCCATCTTACGACGAATTACTCCTTTGACTATAGCAGGCTCTGATTCACCCTCACGCCTGCCACAGGCAGCAGCTCAAGAGAAGCTGACAGCAGAGTAGCAAGGAAATTCAATAGCCGCAGGCCTCCCCGTTAACCAGCTAGAAAATAAGTCACTTCCTGCATTCCCCAACTTCTCTCAGGAGGCATCTTCTACTCACTCCAATTATGTAAATTACCCTGGAGCAAGGTCCTAAGGAACAACTCTCTTCGAGCGCTTTCTTTGGTTGGCACTGCAGGGCGGAGCTGGGAAGTTATTAGGGGATGGCTTCTGGCAGAGATGGAAGAAAGGGTGGGGCAGAGGAGTCTCTGAATGAACCCGCCACTGCTGGCACCGAGGGATAAGAGCCCCAGCCAGGCAGCCGCTTTCCAGCAGGCCACTAGTACCCCCGGGAAGGAAACAGCGGTGAGGAGATTACCGTACTGACGCGGATCTGCGCCTTCTTGTGCGGGCTCGCAGCCTGGTCAGGAGCCACAGGGGCAGAGTAACGCAGATGGAATGTGTGCGCGTGTCAGTACCTAAATGCTAGGCTAGTGGGGGGACAGCTACTTAACTGAGCTTTTGCAGAGGAAACCGGAGAGCTGGAGGAAGTAAAATTACCTTAGACAAATGTTAAAGTCCTAAGAGGAGCTGCATGCTGAAAAAATATTTGCATAGAATAAAGAGTGCAAGGTGGTCGGGTCCACTGTCAGGCAAAGGAAAGGGCTATAAAAAGCAAAGCACACTACAAAAAAAAAAACAAAACCCTGCTAATGAAATTTTTAAAAAATCAAATAATTGTTACTTAAAAGTTCTTCAAGAATGTCTAATGAGTGTCTACGACAGCCACACACCAGAAATAAATATTTGCAATCTCAGCAACGCTGTTAAAGGAAACCGTTTGGGGTTAAGAGTTACGCTCCACAAACCAGTGGAGGAAGTCACTGTAAGTCTCCAAGCATCTCATCCTGGTCTAGTGAGCGGAGATCAACAGCGACCCTGGAGCCGCTCAAGAGGAATTTTCTCAAGGTAAACAGTGGATAAACGTAGACTTAGGAAATCAGAAAGCATCATAACCATACAAGAGGATGGCACCTGCACAGAAAAAAACGCTGTTGTTATAAGGAAGGGGATTTTTCTCCTTGGCTCTCTGAAAAGGGCCACTGAAAGTCTGGTAATGAACTCAGGTGAAGACGCGAGGCTGCCGTGCTTCGCAGCCCTGTGGCACACAGGCTGCGAAGAGATTTCACTGCCGCGCAGATCTGAAGCTGAGCAACTTAGGTTCAGACGTCTTCAAGTCTGAATTGATAAAGTCCATCTCCCTCCCAGGATCCTGAGCCTCGCTGTTCTTGTTGGATGACAGGATTCAACTGCATTGGATAAGCCCTTAGGACTCCATGCTTAGGGTCTATGGTCAGGCACAGGCTCTCAATAGCGAGCCAGGAGGTGCTCAAGGTGAGGGGGTGGGGGGTACAGAAGAAAGGGTGGAAGAAGCAGGGTGGAGAAGGGAGGGGAGAAGGGGAGGAGAGGACAGGGAAATGAGAGGCTGGAGGCGGGAGGGGAAGGAGCGCAGAGAAGCAGCCAGCGCTGGAGAAATCGCCAGTGCCCTCCCAGCATGTCCCTCCGAAATGGCTCCAAGGCCACAGCTTCAGGGACTGCAACCACAGCTCCGGAGGAAGGGCAGGCAGCCGGCCAAACAATGATAAGCACGTTTTTCAAACCCTCCAGATGAACTCAGCTATTTGGCCGCTTTCAGCAGGGCCCTTTCCAAGATCAAGCAGGTTGCATCTACTTAGCTGACTCTCGGTGACCAGCAGACCTTGACCAAAAGGACTTCTGAACAAAATATGCAGGGACAGAGAAAACGGTGCCAAACGTTACTTCTGAGCTGCAATTCCAGTTTCAGGTTTATGTGCCTTTAAGAAAAAAGTTACTGAGTGAGCAACTACACGCCGTTGCTGCAAATTCTGTACATTTTCCCTTCTCTAACTTTACAAATGTGTGGCCTTCATCAGGAGTAACCCTAAGGTTTGCTTTCTAAATAAGGACAATAATCTATGTGCACATGTTACCTACGATGAGAAAAATCAACTGATACAGCCAGAGCTATGCTGCATCGTATGAAAATTAGCTGGCATCACCTTTCAAAGGTGAAGGGAGAAACAGAACATGAGGTCTGACAAAGATCCATGCAGGATAAGGCAGAGTGCTTAACCTAGTTCAAGTGATCTGGACTTTCTCTCTGGCAACACAGGCATTGCCGAGGGAAGGTTAGCGGCAGGTGAATATTGAGATCAAAAAGGATGTTCTGAAATACAAAGCTAGTGGCAACATAAGAGGTCTGGCAGGTCTAGGAGGCCGAGGGATTAGGGAGGAAGCGGGTACCGCCAGGTCACACCTCTGATGACCAGGGCTGAGATTCCAAGGCTGCAGAATGGAGAGAAAACCTTAGTAGGAAGAATTTCAGATCCCTTCGGCCTGGTGACTAAGCACTGACTAATATGGACAAGTGCAGCAGGAGAGACGAAGGAAAATAGAAAATGAGAGGGAGGAATATGAAATTATTTCCAGGGCAACAGAGAAAAGGAAGGCACTTTTAATAGAAACAAAGGTGCACCTGACATCTCTCGGTGCAAGAGTTCATTTTCAGTCAAATGAGTTACGACGCAGTAGTCAAGGAGAAATGATGCACAAGCCATGCAACACTGAGTTCAGCTCCACTTCGGATGTGAGGTACAGGCAAGGTGGCAGTGTGACTCCAGGACGGCTCCAAAGCTGGGCGTGGTGGCGCATACCCGTGCTCTCAGCTCTCTGGCAGGCTCAGGGAGGAACACAAATCTGAGACCAGACTGGACAATTTCGTGAGATGCTGTCTCAAAATTTTGAAAAAGTACAAAAGGCTAAGGATGTAGCTCAGGTGAAGACCCTGGGCTCAATTCCCAGTCCCAGGGGGAAAGGGGAGGATCCTTTCCAGGTGTGGCCACGTCAGGACTGAGGAAAAGGAAACATTCAAAAGGACCCTCACAAACTCACCCACTCCTGGTCCTCGGCATCTGTACTGTAGGGAGAACAAAACCAAACCAAACCCACACACGCCCCTAATGAGGGAAAAAGTAAGCACTGAAATCCAGGGTCAGGGTTATTCATTATAGCTGTGTGTGTGTGTGTGTGTGTGTGTGTGTGTAAAAGAGGAACTATTAACATAAAAGATGGAGAATACATACGGAGACTGTTTTCTTCTTTTAAAATGTAATATTTGAAGATGAGAAGTGAGATTTGTTCTCCACACTTTTTTGATCCCTACTTCACAGTAACCGACCAAAATCCCTGGAAACGAGCCCTCTGGCCTCTCTTTTCTCATCTCTGAGAATGGATTACCAAACCCCTACCCCACAGCCCTGGTGCAATAGGGTGTAACAGAGCTTTACAAACTATAAAAGAGGTTTTACCAATGTAAAAACATCATCAGTATTACAATCAACCTCGTGTGCAAATTTTTCCTTTCCCTAATTTTTTCCACAAGGAGAACATGACTGGTTCTTGGCTGTCACTCTATCTTTAAATTTTACCTGAGTTTACCAACACAGTGCTCATAAATCAACGGTTACAGGAAAAACATGGAGTGCTTTTAATTTTCCAGTTTGTGCTATGGTTTGTATGCAGATGTCCCCCTACCACATCTTGTCATCATGGGCAGGGCCTCTGGAAGGTGAGTGGATTGCAGGGCTTACAGCTGAGTTGCTATTACAGGGTCAGAAGAGGCAGTCACTATGGCCCTCACCGGAAGTTTCTATCTCCTTTTCCAGATCCTCCCTTGACTCTGCTTCCTGGCTTCTATGCCATGAATGCAATGGTGCTTTTCCTCTACCAGGCCCCTCTGCCAGGCCATCTTGCCTTGGAGTTAGCAGACTATGGGCTGAAACATGAGCTGAAAGAAATCTCTTGTTCCTTTCCTTGTGAGTGTTACCTATTTTGCCCAGCAATAAGGGATGTAACTAAGACTTTGGTACAGAGTAAGGTCATTGCTGTGACTACCTGACATGTGGTTCAGAGGTCTTTGGAACTGGTTCATGGGGGGAGTTTGGGAAGTTCTGGAGATGCCCAATGGAGAAGCAGCCTGGGAATGCTGTCAGTGGAGCTTGATGGGAGATTCTGGATCAATAGTAAAAAATTCAGATGGTAAAGACCAGGCTCAGGAAGTTTTTGGTGAGAATACTGACTGCACTGGCATTTCCTGCTATGTGTGTTACGCTTTGTCTATATTTTGCCCATCTCCTGAGAGTTTTCAGGAGACTGCAATTAAAGGTAGCAGACTAATTAATCTTGTGAAGGAAATTTCAAGGTAGCCCATTGCTGAGGCTGTGGTATGGATACTGCTTGCTCCCTTTAACCAGGTTTATACTGAAATTCAGAAACAAAGAACGCTTTTGAAAAGTTTTGAGTTTTGCCAGAAAGGAACCTCTGGTAAACTGGGACCCGCAAAGATAAAGCACAGGCAGCTTGGTTGCTAAAAGATTAGCATTTAAGAAGCCAAGTACTTTAAACAGGAAAATAGGAAAAATAGTTTAAGGGCATGTAAACAACCAGGATGGTCTCATTCTTCACAGGCTCCAAATTGCAAAAGTGAAAGGCTTTCTTTTGGGAACCATCCCCGCAATCATGCTGGAGAAAGGGGACCTAGAGAATTTCTTCCCCAGGGTTCAGTTTTTAGTACTCTGCCCTGCAGGCAATTAGAGACTTCCACAGCCATAACACAAGGAAGCCCAGCTGCTCAAGCTGGCAGCAGACTTTGGCATTGTTGGTGCTGGTTTTATAAGCACGCAGAAGGCAGGATTTGTGAGATCAGGAAGGCTTCCACCCAGATTTCAGAAGAAGGCCTGGGAAGCCACACAGTGTGACCTGGAGAGGACAGTGCATGAAGCTGTGAGAATAAAACCAAAAGTGCACTGGAGACGCTAGGAAGGTGGAGAAGCCTGGAACATGGAATGTCTGAGGAGAGCCACAGGCAGTGAGCAAAGCCAGCCCAAGAGAGACGCTGTGAGGGTTGCAGCCACCAGGGATCTCACAGGAGTGGGGCTGCCCGCCCAAGCTCTCTAGAAACCACAGTTTACCACACCTTGTCCTGGGTGCTACATGTGGAGTTTAATGTGTACCGATTAGCTTTCATCTTGCTTTGGTCCAATTTCTTTCTGTCCCTCTGTTTCTCCCTTTTGGAATGGGCACGTTTACCATGTGCCATTGTCTACTGGAAGTGTTTAATTTTCTTTTTTATTTTAACAGACGCTCACAGCTAAGGTTTGCCTTAAGTCCAAGAGGAAATTTTGGACTTGGATTTTTCAGCAATGCTGGAATTGTTAGAACTTCGGCAGCTCTTAGAGATGGACTAAATGTATTTTGCAAAGAAATGTGCATGAGTCTTGTGGGGGCTAGGGGCAGAATGTTATAGTTCATAATTACCTGTCCTCTGCAAGCCTCATGCGATCACAGGCAGTACCTTTAGATGATGACTGAATTATGGAGGCTGACAGCTGACTTGCTGCTAGGAGTAGGGTCTGGCTGGAAGGGGTGGGTCGCTATGGGCTTGACCAGGAAGGCTGCATTTCCCTCCCTTGACTTACTCTCGCCTCCTGGACACCACGTCAGGAGCAGCCCTCTCCACCAGCCCCACTGTGCCATGCCACCCTGCCTTGAAGCCAGCCAAATGGGGACAGAAACCTCTACACACTGTGAGCCCAAATAAACCTCTCCTCCCCTAAACTGCGGGTGTCTGGGATGGTGTCCCAGTGCCAGGCAAGTGACTAGGACACCTCCCTTGCCCCACTGCACAGCAGCCTGCTCCAACCACAAAAGGGTGACCTCCTCAGCCTCGATCTTCTCATCTGCAAGCACGAATTGATCAGCCCTCCCCACCATCCTCTGGTGGGTGTGCTGCAGAATGAAAAGAGGTATGAGTAAAGCTGCTTCTCGAACTATAAAAGAGCTTTACTGAAGTGAAATATCATCATCGTTATTATTATATGTCTAATATGCAATGTTTTAATTTCCCCGATTATTTTCCACAAGAAAAACACGACTAGTTCTTGGCCTTTGAGCAGCGTTTAAACATCATGTCATTTTAACAGTATGCTTCTCAAAAATTAATGCTTATAGAAAAAAAAGACATGGAGTGTTAACTTTTTATTTTTCATAATTTTGGATCACCACCTTGGTGAATTTTACTACAAACCTAAGATTCATTTCTAGAGTGATATTCCGAGGGACTACTTTCACATTTTTGCTTAGTACTTTATTTTCTCGCCTGCTTAATAAACATTGATCTGTTAATTTTTACAACAATGACCATAATTTAGTAATTCTCTGGAACAAGAACAAATGAGGCTTACAGTGATTCTCCACCTTGCCTAAGGTATTTGATCACTTTAAAACAACAGAAGAGGCAGGTGTCAGCTTCAAGCTGTTGCTTGCTCCCTAATTATTTTCCTACTAAGAAATGGAACTATTAATCACCAAACACATTTGTACTTTGTTTTCATTTACAAGTTTGTGATAACACCAAATAACAACCACAATACACCCAACTCAGAGTAAGGACATCCCACATACTTTGGATTCCAATGATTATTAAATTTAAAGGTGCCGTTTTTACAAAATCAAGCATACTTTTACATTAAGCTTTGTTTAATCTAAAAAATTTTTATCTGTTTTTTACACTTCGTTTAAAAAAACAACTCAAAGTTGGTTTCCACTTTTTAAGCTAGGCTACACCTAGAGATCCCTAATCCATTAGTAACAAAGTTGCTGATGAGTATTTGCAAACAGGAGAGGTCACAGACTAGTAGTTTAATGATCACAAAGGACTGGTCACATGCTCATACCCAATAGCAGCAAACAGCAATACTAGTTCAGTATCACTGCACTTTCTATGGCAGAAACACTTCCAGGTATGTAAACATGTAAAAACGGCATGGTGCTGCACACCTGTAATCTCGGCACTCCTGGAAGCAGATGCTGGAGGATGACAAGTTCGAGCCCAGCCTGGAAAAGTTATGAATTGAGCGAGACCCGGTCTCAAAACAAAACATTTAAACAGGGCTGGAAATACAGGTCAGCACAAAGAGCCCGGGTTCAGTCCCCAGAAACCCCACTCCCACGCCCGTTTGTAAATCTTTTGTGTATCCTCTGCTAAACTCTGAGGGTTTTAACAATTAACAGCAACATTTCCAAAACATTGTATCACCTTTGAAGTATTTAAATGCTAACTCCTGACAAAACAGGTAATATGCTTCCACAATTATTAGAATCGTTGTACAAATCAAATCTAAAAGTACACCCTTGGAAGCAACTACAATACTCTATCCTATAAAGGAATACTCTTTAAAATACCTGGAAACAAAATTTTAAAATGTTAAAGCTAACTAGAATGATTAAATGGCGGGGCTGGGTCAAGGGGACGCTTAGTATCCTTGGGTTGACCCCTAGCGCCCCTCACCAAAAAAAAAAAAAAGAAGGTGATAAATGTGCCCTACAGTTAATGATTCTATCAGTTTGAAAAATCTGAGCTCAGGTCTCATAGGAAGCACCATAACTGCAAATAAACAAGTTTTGCTACGAAAAGCCACTAACTGCATCTACACTGTGCATTGCTGCGAAGGTGGCGGCCTAAAGAAGAAACCCTGCAGAATGGCCTGGCATCATTAAAACTATATTTAGCTTAGCCTCCCATCAGGCATTTATGTATTGGAAAAGCGGTCCCGTCCAAGTATTGACCGTCAAAATTTTCCTGCGCGCCTCCTCCGCAAAAGGGCACTTTACCTCCCAGAAATCGCACGAAAACCGGCTACAATTTCTAAGAGCTTAGCAGGGAGCGGAGGACAGCTTCCCGCTCGGAAACCAAATGTAAACATCACGAAAACCGTCCCGCGGGCGCTGATGAACTCAGGGTTTCCACTGCGCCGTGGGGGCGGGGAGGGGACGCGGTGGCAGCCCCGGCCCAGCGGGAGAAACTTTTAATCCGACAGCAACGAGGACTTTCTGATGCTGACGCTCGCTGCCACGCGGGACGCGGGCGACTCCGAAACACCCCTGAACCCTTAAAAACTGCAGTTCTTGGCGCCCTGCAGCCCGGCCCCCACCCCAGGCGCGCCCCGCGATCCCGGGAACGAGGACGCCCCGGGGAGCACTGGGAGGGCGAGGGCACAGGGGCGACGCATCCTCGCCTCCGGGCGCGCAGAGCTGGCGGCCCGGGCAGAGGCTGGACGAGATCAGCACCCCGAGCCCAGGCCCCGGCGGCGTCCGCGGGGTGGGAGGGGAGCGCGGGGAGGCGCGGAGCC